TTTTTTTTTTTTTTTTTTTTTTTTTTTTTTTTTTTGTTTCTTCCTGACAAGTTTATTTGGTCCTACAGGCATCCCGTGTATTCTGTTGCTTTCAGTCCCAATGGTGAGTATTTAGTCAGTGGGTCTCTTGACAGATCCATGCACATATGGTCATTGAAGGAAGGCAAGATTGTCAAAACATACACCGGCAATGGAGGCATTTTTGAAGTCTGTTGGAATAAGGAGGGTGACAAGATTGCTGCATGTTTTGCTAATAATACAGTTTGTGTTTTGGATTTCAGAATGTAATATCTGTGAAGCACCAATTTCTCCTGGCTAGTACATTAAATTCTTTCTTTTCCTCCTTAAGATGAGATTGGTGGAAGTGTATTTTGGGTGGGTAGGTTACCCGGTTTAACCGTAGTTGTAGGTATAACTCATTGTTCGTGGATCCCGTTGTAATTTGCTATAAACATTAGTAAAAATTAGTTTGTAGGAGTTGATTCTTAATAAGTAAAAATGTGTAGATTTAGTTGGACAATATTCTGTATAAGTATCGTTTGACTTGTCTATTTCTTGTCTACTTGCCCTTTCTCTTGCATCTTATGGCTGCATACGGCCTGCATTTTCAGCCCCTTTGACCCATTAGGGCAAGTCGATGAAGATAATGGATGGAATGTTTATGATAATTACGAATAATCTCGGGTTTAACAGCTTGATAAAGTCGAGTTGAGATAGATTCAGGTGGTCTTCGAAAACACCTTAGTTTCGGTATAAATTTTAATCTTGGGGGATGCTTGGCAATTAAACAGTGAAAATTATTTAAATATTATTATTATCCGTTTCTATCGTTTTGTTACATTTAACCATGCTAAGTTATGATGATAAAAGAGTGGGCGCGGAGGACTTAGATTTATTTTGTACTCTCTTCATTTTTTTATTTGATGTTTAAGATTATGTATAAGAATTAAGAAAATGATTAATATTTTAATTTTTAAAAATATTTATTATTTATTTTCTTGTTATATTCTTTAGATGATCAGAAAAGAAATAGATATTAAAAAATGAATAAACATATTATTTAATAAATATATATTAATTATCAAAAATAAAAATAAAAAATTATTGATTTTAGAAAAATGATAATAAAAAAATATATAAAAAAATAATGTTAAAATAACTATGAATAAAAAATAGAGAGAGAAACATAAAATATTGAATAACATTCCGCCTTTAATATTCAAGAATCAAGATTGCTGCATGTATTGCTAATGATACAGTTTTAAAACCTACAATATTCAAAATGTTGTGCAGGGATTTGAGTAATATTCGACCTGTGGCGTAATTAGACATTCTCAACTGCCCGCTCCTACCTTTTAAATTTAGCATTGTAGGACTAAAATTTTAAATGACATGTTAATTTACAACAGAAATTTGAATGTTGATCCTCTCCAGTCAACTTCCCCTCTAGTCAATATCTTGCAAAATCTGAGCCTTTTATTGTTCATTACACAGGAAACAGAAGATATTGCATGGTCAGGGTCCTTATTCCTGAAACTCGTCCTTAAAATTTCTCATGAATTGCACTCGGATCCTCTGCAGCAGCGATCTTGGCCATTAAATTCATATATCTGATGGTTATTAAAAATAGGAATATAAAAAATATTTCTATAATTAATTGCATAAGGTGGATATGTTGCTTCTGGTAGAGAATCCAAACTCATCTGGTGCTTCTCTATTAGAATTTTACGGAGAAATAACTAATTAAGTTCACCAATAATCCCCACACGAACATGAACCATTCTCAAAGTGGTGGAACCGGTTCCGATCTCTCATTATAATTCTACGGCCAGTGATCTTAGATACCATCTTCATCACGGCATGACAATCCAAACACACTCGAAGGTTCTTTACAATCTTGATTGCAGTTCCTGGACTTGTACTGATAAGCCCAAACGCCAAGGCAAGCTTCTCACTATGAACTTCCAACGACTGCTCTTTCTGTTGCTCCCCTATGTCATGCAACACCACATCAGTGTTTGGCGTATAACCGCGAGCCTTGAGCCAACCATTCATCTCCTCCAGCATCGAATATATATCTTTGCTCCTCGGGTGTCTCAAATCACCAGCAACAAACTCATGCACCCTGTTGTCAACTTCAATTGAACTACAACCAGGTTCCTTCTCAACTCCACTCCCTTTCATCAACGATCTCACCTTGGCCACACCGACCCAGTTACGAGCAGCAGCATACATGTTAGAGAGAATGACATAAGTACCCGAACTAGCCAAATCATTGCTCACAAGAAACTCCGCAATTTCCTCTCCCAAAGAAACATCGTTATGGACTCTACAAGCCCATAGCAAAGTCCCCCACAGGACAGGATCCGGCTCAACCTCCATGCTCCTCACAAGGTCATAAGCTTCTATCACACGCCCAGCTCGGCCTAGAAGATTCACCATACACCCATAATGCTCAATCTTCGGTTCCATCTTATACCTATCCTTCATCAAATCGAAAACCTCCCATCCTTTCCTTACCAAACCAGCATGCGCACACGCAGTCAAAACGGCAACGAAGGTAATATCAGAGGGTTTAAGTTTAACCCCAACGCAACACATCTCATGAAACAACCTCAAAGCCTCATCACTAAACCCATGTATGCCATACCCCATAATCATGGAGTTCCACGCCACCACATCCTTTCCCTCAATCACATCAAACACCTTGCGCGCATCCTCCAAGCTCCCGCATTTACAGTACATATCAACCAACGCAGTACCCACACGAACATTAACCCTAACCCCAACCCCATTATTCTCAACATACGAATGCACCCACTTTCCAGATTCCAAAGCACCAAGCTGTCCACAAGACGACAAAACAGCCACCAAAGTTATCTCATTCGGCCGAACCTTCATACCCATCATTCTCCTAAAAAGCAACAACGACTCATTCGGATACCCATGCTGAGCATACCCATCAATCATCACGTTCCAACAAACCACATCCTTGACCTCCATCTCTTCAAACAACAACCTCGCCTCTCGGAGCATCCCATGTTTCGCGTAACATGTCAGCATGGCGGTCGAAGAAACCAAACTCTTCTGGGGCATTGTGTCGAACAGTTTCTGCGCCGAGACAACGTCCCCGCCCCGAGCGTAGGCGTCGACGAGGCCCGTGGAGACGTAAAGGTCGGAAGCGAGGCCCAGTTTGAAGGCGTGGGAGTGGACGGCCCTGCCGGGGTGGAGGGTGCAGGCTTTGAGGAGGGAAGAGAGGGTGAAGGCGTTGGGCCGGACGGGGTGGGCCAGCATTTGGGCGTAGTAGGATAGGGCCCGGTCGGAGTGGGCGTGGTGGGCGTTGATGATGGCGGACCATAGGAAAACGTTTGGGCTTGGGGTGCGGTGGAAGAGGGTTACAGTGTGGTGGAGGTGGCCCAGTGAGGAGTAGGAGCGTTGGAGCTTGAAGTTGAGAATGGGGTGATGGTCCAGGCCTCGACGGAGGAGTGCGGCGTGGATTTGGATAAGGTGGTTTATGGTTTTGGAGTTGTCGATTAGGAGAGCGAGGTTGTCTACTTGGGCCGAGGGAGTGGGTGGTGGGCTCGTGAATACTGTGCCTGAGGTCATCCTTTGTTAACCGGTTTTGCTAATATCTCGCCCCATCGTACTTTATACACTTAAAATGCCATCCGGCCACAACTCTGTTTTTGAACGTACAGAATTTAACCATATTCTTTGAGACAAAATTTAGTTCTATCATATTCTTGGAGTGTCTTTTTCTTTTTTTCCTTTGTGTGAATTCTTAAGTAGGATTAATGTACCTCTTACCTAATTACACTTAAATAGTTGGGTATTTTTTTTTTTTTTTTTTTTTTTTGTTTTTTCAAT